GACGGATTCTTTTTGAAAAGGAAATATTTGACGGAGCCCTAAACATAAAAGAAGGTCCTCGTGCCAGGTCCCTCCCTTTTGTGACTATTTTATGACTATTATTTTCTTTGCGGACCCCCACAAAGGCTTTGCTCCCCAGGGCTCCACGGAGCACACTTTGAGTATCACTGGTCTAGGATAGTGTAGTTTTATTTCATCTTTAAGGTTCCTCAAATGCTTTGGAATAAGTAACGTTTCTAAGCATCTCAAGTTTATTCAAAAATATTCCATTTTTCTGGAGAAGTTTCTGCTCGTTACAATTGGAGTTTTAAATGATGGCCTTACGTCTTGATTAAGAAGTAAAAAGTTATTAAACCTCTCTTCATTGCCTAAAATGTATTGTTATTTAACAATAGTTGGGAAATATTTGTCTACAATAATTTTTAAAGCTGGCTTAATAGAACTGTGTATTCTATTTCCTGGCAAATTAACTTTTTTTTGTATTTGCACCACCTCTTACAACGCTGAACGAGCTTCCTCGACTATTTTTCTTCCTTTTTGATCACATACCCACCAATGAATATCTCTTCTTCTAAAAAATACCTACAACCTGTACTGGTAACCAAAATCATCACTCAAAAGCAATATTTCCAACATTTAGTACAGACTTCAGCTCCTGAACAGCAAGTTCTCACCTCATCAAAAATAGTCATATCAATATCAAATACTAATTCTTTTTCTGTAGGTATAATTTGGTCTTGTCTGACATACGGCACCTAAATCTATTTTTATAGAATATAACTATTTTGCGAAATCATCTTAAGAGTCAAAAGATTAATAACGAATATAAATATCACTGAGAAATTTAAAAGATATTTCTCTTTTTGCAAAAGTAGGTTGATTCCCATAATTTAACCAGCGATAAAATTAGGAATGTGGAAACAACCTTTTGTAATAAACGAGCAGTAAATTAAGATTGGCATAGAATTTCCCCATGTTATAAAACCCAGTGGGTTTTTTCGGATTTTTTTAATTGATAAAACCCACTATCAAAAATAGCAAATTTTCAGTTGAATGAATGTCATATACATATATTTATTTCTGAATAAAAACAAAAACTAGCATAAATAACATGAAGTAAGTAATAGGTGAATACAAAACGAACGCAACTGAAACTAAACTAACAAAACACTTATTGTAAATATATATTGTAATGATTCTAATTTGTCGTTTCATTACATTACAATTTACTAAACTCATTTTATTAAAACTTACCTCGACTAGCCTTTAATGTCCTTGTAAAAGTCTTATGTTAGAGTAGATCGTCTTTATCCCAGGGGAGGTTCAAGTTAACAATTTTAACTGAAGAGATAATTCTTTAATTTTATCAACTTTTAATTTAAATTTATTTTAATTTATTTTAATTAATTTAGTTTAATTGAGTTTAATTTAGTTTAATTTAGTTTAATTTAGTTTAATTTAGTTTAATTTAGTTTAATTTAGTTTAATTTAGTTTAATTTAGTTTAATTTAGTTTAATTTAGTTTAATTTAGTTTAATTTAGTTTAATTTAGTTTAACTTAGTTTAATTTAGTTTAATTTATTTTCATTTAGTTTGTAAATTCTGCCAAAAATCCAATCTACTATTTTAAAATTTTATGATCACCCTGTATATTTAAGTGAGCAAACTAATAAAATATTTTAACAACAAACCTTACAATTTTATTTAATTCAAATTGTACAATATTCAAAATGAAACCATAGTTCAAATAATTTTCTAACTTCTAATATATAACTATTATATCAATAAACATTCACTCCAAATTCACACTTTAAAAAAGAAAAACTAATTGTTATTTAAAGTAAAAAAATAAATACCGCCGTCACTTCCTTTCATGTTTGAAAAGTGTATGTAGTATTGAGGTCTAGCCTTCCTAGCTTGACGACTGTCACCAATGACAAATATGTTTTTAAATTATGATTATGGCTGGTATTTATTTTAAAAAAAATTAAATAATAAACCTCTATGCTAATATTTACAATATCAAATTGATTTTTTTACTTTGTCCTGCACTTCTTTACAGTTTCTTTAACACAATTATTAAAATGTTTTAGTACTCACAGTTCTATCTTCAATTCAGATATTCTGCAATTGATTGCAGACTGGAGACTGGGGCTTTGCGAATGTCCTTATTGGATCCTGGTCCACGTTTCAACACGATTTTGCCGCAAACTTACACAAGGGTTCAATATACAATGGTTGTTACCTTCATATAGGTACACATTCAATAAATTTGCTTACTTAACTCATCTTCTGTATCAAAATACTTTAAACTCTAACTGTATTTGTTGTATTTTTACTGAATCAATATTTTTTTTTTAAATTGAAAAATACCAAGACAAATTTTTCTGTCACCTTTTTCAAAAACCGTCATTCCCCTTCACACTGTTTATATCTTTCTTTTCTTAGTAACCACAACACAAACCAATAAAAACTCCGAATGGTTTATAACATTAAAATTTTGTGTTTTAAGCTGGATATTTGGCTGAATTTAACTACTTTTACTCCATATATAACAACATTATCAATTTTACAAATATTTTAAACCAAACATTGAGTTTACTTGTAATTATTTTCTTTTATATGACACCAATCAAAATAATATTCCCTATTTGTGACAACTTTGTCGTTTGTATCCTTTGTATCGCTATCAAATGTGTGCTATATAGGGTGTTTTTTTTAATTATTATATCTTATAACAATTTTTACTTTCCTATCTGTATACAGATATAAGGAAAGTATAGGAATCATGATTTTTTTCGACCTCGAGTTTTCGACGGATTTTTACGTTTTGAGGTCCCCTGAATCCGTTTTGACTATTTTCGCGATGTCCGTCTGTCTGTCTGTCTGTCTGTCTGTCTGTCTGTCTGTCTGTCTGTCTGTCTGTCTGTCTGTCTGTCTGTCTGTCTGTCTGTCTGTCTGTCTGTCTGTGTGTGTCTGTGTGTGTGTGTGTCTGTGTGTGTGTGTCTGTGTGTGTGTGTCTGTGTGTGTGTGTGTGTCTGTGTGTGTGTGTGTGTCTGTGTGTGTGTGTGTGTGTCTGTGTGTCTGTGTGTCTGTGTGTCTGTGTGTCTGTGTGTCTGTGTGTGTGTGTGTGTGTGTGTGTGTGTGTGTGTGTGTGTGTGTGTGTGTGTGTGTGTGTGTGTGTGTGTGTGTGTCTGTGTGTGTGTGTCTGTGTGTGTGTGTGTGTGTGTGTGTGTGTGTGTGTGTGTGTGTGTGTGTGTGTGTGTGTGTGTGTGTGAGTGTGAGTGTGAGTGTGTGTGTGTGTGTGTGTGTGTGTGTATGTATGTGTGTATGTGTGTATGTGTGTGTGTGTGTGTGTGTGTGTGTGTGTGTGTGTGTGTGTGTGTGTGTGTGTGTGTGTGTGTGTATGTATGTGTGTGTGTGTGTGTGTGTGTGTGTGTGTGTGTGTGTGTGTGTGTGTGTGTGTGTGTGTGTGTGTGTGTGTGTGTGTCTGTATAACGCATAACTCATGAACCGATACACAAAAAACACCAAATTTTAAACTTAAGCTTTGTTTCAGCGTCCAATGAGCTGATTAGATTTTGGGCATAGTCGGAACATCTGGGGGGGTACTTTATGAGTGGTCATTTTTATATTTTATGGAATATATCTGTTATTTACGTTTGGAGAAGAAAATTCTTCAAATAAAAGTTACTTCTAATATAATTATCTATAATTTTTGTTTTATGCAAAATTTTCCTAAAATGGTCCGTATTCGAGAAATTTGAGAAAATGTAAAAAAAATAATTTTTTATAAAAATTGTTCAAATAAAAGTTGTTTGTAATATAATTCTCTATAATTTTTATTCTATACATAATTTCTCTAAAATGGACCGTATTCGAGATATTTGAGAAAATGTGTAAATTTCGAATTTTGAAGAAAACTCAAAAACGGATAAAGAAAAAAACATTAAATTTTAAACTTAAGGTTTATTTCGGCCTGACGTGAAATGATTAGATTTTAGACATAGTCGGAACATCTGGGGGGGTACTTTATGGGAGGCCACTTTTATATTTTATGGAATATATCTGTTATTAATGTTTGGAGAAAAAAATTGTTCAAATAAAAGTTACTTCTAATATTATTATCTATAATTTTTGTTTTATGTAAAAATTTCCTGAAATGGTCCGTATTCGAGAAATTTGACAAAATGTGCAAAATTCTGAATTTTATGAAAGTTTTTGAAATAAAAGTTGTTTGCGATATCGATCTCTATAATTTTTGTTTATACATGATTTTTCTAAAATGGACCGTAATGAAAAAATTGTAGGAAATTTTAATTTTTCAGTATTTTCGTTTTCCATGAATATCTATAGAAGAATGTTTCGAGGTAGATGTATGTGGACAATGTATATATTTAGTTTATCCTCTAAACATTTATAGAGATGCTGCAATAGGTTGTACAAAATAACCAAAAAAAGCCTATAATAACTAGATAGGAAAGTCATGTGTTGGACACATCAGATTTTTTTATATTATTATTGTTATTACTAATATTATTATTATTATTTTTGTTATTATAATAGTTAAGACCTATATTCTTTCCATTGCAATATATAGAGAAATAAAAAAATAAAAAAGTTTTTTGTTAAACAAGGCATATTAGGAATCAGGAAAATCAGAATCTGCATTTTCGTCACATTCTCGTTCCTTAGACTTGGTTCTTAAATGATTATATATTTTTACCAAGATTGCAGCTCTATCGGCACCTAATCTGTTGCGAAGCTTAGTCCATATTAATCCATATGAAGAAAAAATCCGCTCAATAGATGCAGATAACATATAAGTAAAAAATTCATCTAGTATTTTATTTGTTTTTTATTTTTTATTGATATTAGCTTCCACCATTTCTTTGTTGAGAATTTTTTGACAAGTTCTTCTTTGAAAAGTGTTGCGGGGGACATATCTGTATCCTTAATCTTGAACGATAACATCACTGCCAAAAGCTCATCAGAAAGATTCAATGCAAACCCACTGTTTGACTGTTTCCTCTTCTTCCTCTGTTTCCTCTTCTTCCTCTGTTTCCTCTTCTTCCTCTGTTTCCTCTTATTCCCATGTATTTGGGATCCATTTGTAAAAAGGCGAACTGGTTGAATGGCAACGTCATATCTCTTTTTATTTCTTGTCTGTATGGCTGTAACAAATCATGGTTGAGGACATCTTTCCATATTTCTACTGCATCAGAAATGTTTACGTAATCGCTTTGAAATCTGTCTAGAGCTTTCACGATAACGGCAAGTTGTTTTTGCAAATGCAGAGCCTCTATATATGGCAACATTATCTAATAGTTTGGAGATATTTTTATTAAATTCTTACTTCTTCTCTGTCCTAATTTCAACATATATGTGATAGTTGCTTATAAATGTTGCAAGACAGGCTTCATGTGATTTACAACGGGTTTCATTGGGTAACTGAGGCATTAGACCTTATTTTTCTTTAAACTACCCATGTGGTAAATGTTTATTTCTAAAATATTTGTGGGCCTCAATGATGTGCTTGGTAACTGTTTTGGGTGTAACCTCTTTTTCTAATAAATTCATTAAATGAGAGAAACACCCATATTTAAGTAAATTTGGATAAGTTTGCTTCAAAATGTCTTCATATTAACCATTTTTGCCTCATTATCGGTACATATAGCAAAAATATCTTTATTATAAGTTTCTTTAATAATTCAATATTTTTCTTAGTTATTTTAGAACAATACAAAGCAGTTTTTTATTCAGAAGGCTCCACAGCATCAATCAATATACTATGTTCGCCAGTATGAATACTCGTAGCAATTATAGAGTCATTCTTAATACTGGACCATCAATCCTGCATCATTGTAAAGCTAACGTCTTCAGCACTGAGCTCACTTTTCTGTTATAAATATAATCCAGTGCTTAAAGTGTTTTAAAGTTGGTAATATTGACTGTCACCTATTTTCTCTTATGTCAATGTCAAGAGTAATTTCGAGAAGTTTGTCGTTACAAGTTGTTTTTCCTTTTGTCGTTTAAATAGGCAGCCATTTTGTTATAACAGTGTTTGTAATAAAAGTTTACTTGATTAATAGAATTGTATTATCAGTATTGTCTCTGTTTTACTTTACTAAAGAAGCTGACAATTACGATCCACATCATAACAGGTTATGGGCCCAGAATACCCTGATAATAAAAAGTAAACAGATTCAAGTGTGGAGCCACGTGCTACCAGTAAAGAAAAATTGACTGCATTAAAGTTTTTGGAGCCGAGTGCTATCCGTAAAGCCGAATAAAATGGAAGAAAATTTAAAGTTCAGTTTTGCTAGACTAGATAACCATAATTACCAGAATTGGAAATTCCGAGTGAAGATGATTTTAATAAGAGAAGGTATATGGTCAGTAATAGAAGATGAATTACCCACGGAACAAAATGCAGAATGGAAAAGGAAAGACGAAAAGGCACAAGCCACAATTTCCCTAAGTATTGATGACAACCAAATAGTACATATTTGTAAATGTGCAAATGCAAAAGAAATGTGGGATGAACTGCAAAAAATACACGAGCGAAATAATTTAAGTAACAAACTATACCTATTAAGAAAATTGTACCAATCAAAATTGGAAGAAAAAACCATGTCAGAGTATATTAAAAATATCCTAGAGCTAGTAGAAAGATTAAGAGGTATTGGTGAAACGATAAAAGATTTCCATGTCGCCGCACTCTTATTAGGAGGCCTACCAGATACCTATTCAACGTTAGTCACAGCTTTGGATGCCAGACCTGATGATGAGCTGACTTTGGAGTATGTGAAGGGAAAATTAATCGATGAATTTAATAGAAAAAAAGAAAACTCTTCAGAAGTCGCATTAAATACAAATAAATTCAAGAATTTTAACAGAAACAAAGAAAAAAGAGAATGTAACTACTGCCATAGGAAGGGACATTTAAAAAAGGATTGCTATTTTTTAAGGAAAGATTCAAAGAAAAATCAAGCCCAAGTAGCTACAGAAGAAGGTGAGTCTGAAAGTCATTTAGACTATTGTTTCAATGTAAAAGGCAGTGGAAATAAATCAGATTGGTATATCGATTCAGAGGCCACCAGCCATATGTCTAATGATGTAAAATATTTTTTAAATTTAGAAAACGTAAACCTTGATAAAATAATGGTAGCAAATGGACAGTTTATGAAAATTAAAGGTAAAGGAGATATTGTATTAAAATATGAAGTAGCTGGTACTGTCAGAAATTTAAAATTTACAGATGCATTGTACGTGCCAGAGTTAGAAAATAATTTATTATCAGTCTCAAAAATAACGAAAGCTGGTTATAATATGGTTTTTGATGAAAATAAATGTTATATTGAGAAAAATAAATGCCTCGTCTTTAGTGGAAATTATAAAAATGGTCTATACAAAGTGGACATTTATAATGAAAATGTAAATCTCTTAAAAATGTCTTGTATTAAAGAAAGTTGTATACATACCTGGCATAGGCGTTTAGGGCATAGAAATGTAGAAAATATTAAAGCATTAATAAAGAATAATTTAGCTACAGGATTAAATATTTTTGATTGTGGTAATATAAAACAATGCGTTTCCTGTATAGAGGGCAAACTAACTAGAAAACCATTCCCACAAATATCTCTGCCAAAAACTAAAAATGTACTAGATTTAATTCATAGTGATGTATGTGGACCTATGAGAACTGATACTGTTGGAGGTAAAAAATATTTTTTGACATTCACCGATGATTTTTCTAGGTTCACAACAGTTTATTTATTAACCTCTAAAGATGAAGTTTTTCTAAAAATAAAAGAATTTTTTGCTGAGTTAAAAAATAATTTTGGCAGATATCCCAAGATTATTAGAACAGATAATGGTGGTGAATATACAGGGGGAAATATTCAGAGTTTACTTAAAAAGTTAGGTACAAAGTTTCAAGCATCAGTCCCTTATTGTCCTGAACAAAACGGTGTATCTGAGCGAAAAAATAGAACTTTGATTGAATCAGTCAGATGCATGTTGCTAGACTCAAAGTTACCACACAAATAATGGGGGGAAGCAGTGATAACTGCAAATTACATTTCAAATAGATTACCTACAAAATCAAAAGAAAAAACCCCATATGAATTTTGGACAGGTAGTAAACCTGATTTATCACACTTAATAACTTTCGGTAGTCAAGCTTTTATTTATGTGCCAAAAGAGAAAAGGTTCAAATTAGACAAAAAGACTAAAGAAGGAATAATGATGGGTTACAGTGAGACAAGTAAAGGTTATAGAATTTTAGATAGAGAAACAGACAAAATTGTCATAAGTCGTACTATAAAATTTAATGAATTTTTAAATCAACCTTTTCAAGATATTAAATGTGAATCAAAAAATGAGCCCATATTTACTGTTGATACTGAATTTAAAGATACTTTAGAAAACCCAACTAAAGAAACTATAGAAGATGAAAATAGTAATAAAGAGGAAGATGAAGAAGAAACTATAGATAATAGTAGTGAAGAAGAAGATGAGAAAAAACAATCAGGATTGACAGATGAAGATCAATCGTTAGAAACGTTAAATGATGAAGGTGAAACAGAAGTAGTTACGAGATCTGGAAGAATATCTAAAAGAGGACATCTTGAAGATTATGTTACCTATAATGTTTTTGAAGCTAACTATTTTAATCAAAGTGAAACGGGTGATCCGGTAAGTGTAAGTGAAGCGCTATCAAGAGCGGATCGACAAAAATGGAGGGAAGCAATGGAAAGGGAGTATAAATCCCTTTTAGAAAATGAAGCTTGGATATTAGTCGACCGTCCCCCAGACAAGAGCATTGTGAAAAATAAGTGGGTGTTTTGTGTAAAAAAGGTCTCAAATGGTGAAGTGCGATACAAGACTCGGTTAGTGGCTAAAGGTTTTTCTCAAAAATTCGGTATAGATTACCTTGAAACTTTTTCCCCAGTTGTTAGGAATTCTACAATAAGAATTTTATTTGCTTTGTCAGTTGAGTTGAAACTAAATATTGACCATTTAGATGTTGAGACAGCCTTTTTAAATGGGGAAATAGATCAAGAAATCTATATGAATCAACCAGAAGGTTTTATTTCTGAAAGTAATGAAAATAAAGTATGTTTATTAAAGAAGGCAATATATGGTTTAAAACAATCATCTAGAATTTGGAATCTAAAGGTCAAAAAACTTTTATTGGAATTAGTTTTTCAGCAATCAAGTTACGAACCATGTATTTTCTTCAAAAATGTAAATAAAAATATTATAATTGTCACCATATATGTAGATGATTTTTTGATTTGTTCGACCTGCACTATTTTAAAAACTAACCTCAAAGAGGAATTATCTAAACAGTTTAAGATAAAGGATTTAGGTCCAGTAAAATATTTTCTTGGTTTAAATATTGAACAAAATAAAGAAAATAATATAATTAAAGTAAATCTGAAAGAATATATTTTAGAATTATTAGACAAATTTAAGTTATCGGATGCGAAAACTGTTTATACTCCTATTGAAGTAAGTTTAAAGTTAAAGCCTAGTAATGATCAACCAAATGTACCTTATCAAAATTTGATTGGTTCTTTAATGTATTTGTGTGTTCATACAAGGCCAGACATTTCATATAGCATAAGTTATTTAAGCCAGTTCAACACTTCTTTTAGCTTAGAGCATTGAAAACATGCAAAGAGAGTTTTAAAATATCTAAAAGGAAGTATTGATCAATCTTTAATTTTTTGTAAATCAGAAAATAGTATTTTAGGATTTCTCGCGGATTTCTCTAATGATGTAAATCCTATTCAGGCTATGTCTTTAAAATGAGTAATGCAGCTATTTCTTGGGAATCGAGAAAACAATCTTGTGTTGCCCTTTCCAGCACTGAAGCTGAATATATAGCAATAACTGAGGCAACTAAAGAAGGTGTTTTTATATCTGGTTTTCTAAATAAGATTTTGAAGCACAATGAACCACTAGTAATTTTTAATGATAGCCAAAGTGCACAAAAGCTCATAAGAAATCCAATTTATCATTCTAGGACAAAACATATAGATACCAAGTATCATTATATCAGAGAAATTGTTGATAAAGGTATTATAGTGATTGAATACCTTCCTACTGATAAAATGGTAGCTGATATCTTAACAAAAGGTCTTCATAGTCCTAAACATAAATTTTGTGTTGAAACCCTTGGAATTAAAAAATCACTGGATTAAGGGGAAATGTTATAAATATAATCCAGTGCTTAAAGTGTTTTAAAGTTGGTAATATTGACTGTCACCTATAATAGGCAGCCATTTTGTTATAACAGTGTTTGTAATAAAAGTTTACTTGATTAATAGAATTGTATTATCAGTATTGTCTCTGTTTTACTTTACTAAAGAAGCTGACAATTACGATTCACATCATAACATTTTCAGGGTTTCTTCTGTTTTCTTATGAACTGTATCTAACAGCATTCCTGATACTTTCTTACGGCTAGGTGGATCATATCCAGGTCTCAATGCGCAGATCATGTCCTTGAATAATTTGTTATCAGCCATATTGAATACTATGTTACAGCCATAAAAAAATTTGGCCATTTTAATATCCAATTTCTGCTTTTCACTTGCGGAAGTCTACAACAAAGCTTTCAATACCTAAACCAATTTACATAAAATTAATTATGTTTGTTGCTTTTCTTGAATTTTCTTCTTATTATACTACACATGGTGGGTAGAAAATAAATAGCTATACAGGATATCAAAGTTTGAGTTAGTTTGGGCATAGTCAGTAGCGTAAAATTATATTTTCATTTGAGATTTCCATAATTCGATATATGACAAAGTCTACACTTATTAGTTATTTTGACATTTTCTATTGATTTTTGAAGTTTTGCAAATAAAGTTGGACCACCCTATACATATAGATTGAATCCAATATCAAAATTAAAGGAAATAATAAAAATAAAAATTAGCGTTAATTTTAAATTACTTAATTTAAATTAGGAAGAATTTATTAAATTGACGTAATTAATTCTCAAATATAGAATATAGTATAATTATTTAATGATTTTACCGTACCTGTGTCTTTTTCTTCTAATACGTACCTGATATCAAAGATGTTATTCTTGGAATGGATGTAATGAACTTACATGGTTTCCAGTTGGACTTTATGAACAGAGTGATCAAAGTTGGTGCCGAAGAGGTATTCCTACATCCATATGGGGACAGTACCGTGCCAGTTGCTGTACAGGAGGATACGGTGGTACTTGGCAGAAGTGAAACCGTTATAGTAGCACGGCTTCAAGAAACTATGGAAGAAGGAACAGCTGTCATGATGGAACGTTGGAACCACGATGAAGAGGTTGGACGAGGTATTCTGATCGGAAAGGGGTTGGTCACGACTGCTAAAGAGATTTCAGTTCGTCTTATAAACGTTAATGATCACCCAATTACCATCAAGAAAGAGACCAGAATCGGAACTTGTGTACCAGTAACTTCCATAATTCGTGACATTTTTGTACCAAAAGGAGGAAAAACGGGAAGAACTTCTGTTGTAAAAAACAAAATTTACACTGGTGACGCCAGGCCGATTCGTCAATCAGCTCGAAGATTACCAAAGGCCAAGAGAGAGGAAGCTGAAAGGATTGTTCAGGAAATGAAGGAAGACAGGGTGATAGTACCTTCTACCAGCCCATGGATCTCTCCGGTAGTCCTGGTTCAGAAAAAGGATGGAACTAAGAGGTTCTGTGTGGATTACCGTCAGTTGAACAATTTTACCAAGAAATACAGTTACCCTCTGCCTCGTATCGACGATACCTTGTACAAATTGGCCGGAAGTAAACTATTCTCTACCTTAGACTTGAAGTCTGGATACTGGCAGGTGGAAATGGACCCAGTAGACAAAGAAAAAACCGCTTTTACCACTGGATCTGGATGGTGGCAATTCAATGTTATGCCATTTGGATTATGTAATGCCCCTGCGACATTTGAAAGACTTATGGAAAATGTATTGAGAGGGTTATCCTGGAACATTTGATGAACATCTAAAAAACTTAGAAGATGTTTTTAAAAGACTTCAAGCTGCTCAACTGATGCTAAACCCCAAGAAGTGCTAACTATTTCAAAATAAAGTTAATTGCCTGGGTCATGTAGTCAGCAAGGATGGCGTGGCTGTAGATAAGGAAAAAGTCGCTTCTATCAAAGAGTGGCCACAACCAAAGGATAAACACCAAATAAGAAGTTTTTTGGGCTTTGTACGTACTACCGAAGATTCATAAAGAAGTTTATTGCTAAACCACTAAAGCCTTGGTTTCTTTGAACACTCCGTTGCGGTGAGCGGACAGTCCGTCGACCGTCGCGTTTTGACGATTTTATCCAACCAGAGTATTTAAATGGGAATGGTTTTCTTGAATCGGCTTAGCTGAACAGGACAGCGTCATGCCACTGATTTGTCGCGACTAGTCGGTTCATATCTGTTGAGTTTGATATAAGCGGAATCGTCGGCGTGTGCGGAGACAGTCTGTGAATACAAATATTGTTATTATTTTTAAAACAATGAATGACAAATTCACACATACAGATGACTTTATTTTTAGGTTTCTTGGAAATGTAGTCCTTTATAAAACTCAACACGAATTCAAAAAGATCTGTAGAAAGTCTAAAATACTCCCTAAATTTGGTTTCATTTCCAAAAAGCCTCCACTGCATAGTGATATTAAAGGCACCTTCTGTATCGCGGCACAAAAACAACTTATCCACTGGCTTATTGGAAACTTTGACGGTTGCAATCGCCAGTTCCTCTTGTTCTTCCTCTTCCAACAATAATAACGCAAACAATTTATTTTCGTCAATTTTAGTACCTTTCGTTTACAATCATAATACATAAACAGCCACGTACATACAGAGAAGGTCTCATTTAGCAAACCGCCTCGGGCGAAAATCGCTGCCCTCAGCGGTCGACGGATTGTCCGCTCACCGCGACGGGGTGTTCAAAGAAACCAAAGCTTAACGCGACTCACAGAAGAAGCAAGAGAATTCTGCTGGGATAAAGACTGCCAAACTGCCTTCGAAACTTTTAAGAAGCATTTAACAACAGCGCCAATATTAGGCTACCCACTACCAGAGGGAGAATTTATCCTGGATACTGATGCCAGTAATGTGGGAATTGGAGGAGTGCTTTCACAGATTCAAGGGGGAAAAGAAAGAGTACTGAGTTATTTTAGTAAAGTGCTCTCGAAACCTGAGCGAAATTACTGCGTCACGAGAAGAGAACTCCTGGCAGTTGTGAAATGCGTGGAACACTTCTACCAAAACCTATATGGAAGGAAATTCTTAATCCGTACCGATCATGCCGCCCTTAAATGGTTGATGCAGTTCAAAAACCCGGAGGGCCAAATTGCCAGATGAATTGAACAACTGTACGACTTTAAGATCGAACATAGAGCCGGAATAAGCCACAGAAATGCCGATTCTCTTTCTAGAAGACCGTGTCCAGCAGGGTGCTCCCACTGCAACAAAGCGGAATCCAAAGAAAGTGGACTACTAAGAACAACTGTAGTCAACGATGAGTGGGCCCCTGCTAAAATTAGAGAAGAACAAGAGAACGATACCGTTTAAAAGAAGATTTGACAATGGAAAGAGGAAAATCGTCGACCTACTTGGCAAGAAGTCGTATTTGGCTCAGTGGGACTCCTTTATCCTGGAAAATGGCGAGTACTTGAAAATTATGATGGTTCCGAGAACAGAAGACAGTTGGTCATTCCAAGAAGTAGAGTAGCCGAAGTACTTCGTCAGTTACACGACAGTCCATCAGGAGGACATCTCGGTGTTAGGAAAGGTTTCATTGGATGAACAGTTCCGGTGATGTAAAGGACTGGTGTAAGAAATGTACCAGCTGTGCTTGGGAAGGTCCGTACCTCATCAATGATGTCATTTACCGTATAAGTAAGATCCCGAACGGTAAACCAAAAGTAGTGCACCAAAACAGGCTGGCGCCATTTGAGGGTGACCATGAAGAGACAGAAGAAGTAAACCAGCTCCAAAAAACACCTGACCTTGTCTTTGAAGAATTTATGGGTGCATATGGAGGTACCGGAAAAGCAAGATATGGTGTTACAACCGAGCAACAAGACCTGCTCACGGTTCCTAAAGATTACTCGCTGGTCCATAGCACTTCCTCCAACATCTACGACGCTCGAGGTCTGGCATCTGTATTCCGGAAGAAGTTTGGTCAATTGCCAGAACTTCAAGATCAGTTACCAGCCCATGTAAAAGCATTAAAACTTCAAGATGGATCGCTTTATCTTTTCTATTTGGTAACAAAGAACACCTTCCGAGATCGATCCACCTATCAGGATGTATGGGAAGCATTACTCAGTCTGAGGGAGCATGTATTGGAGTCCATTGTACAGAAACTAGCTATGCCAAAGATAGAGAGCAACCAGTTGAATTGTAGGATCATTAGAAACATGGTGGAAGTAATCTTCCAAGATACCCAGGTTGAAATACTGGTCTGCAGCCATTCTCCCAGCATTCAGGTTATAACGAAGACTGTGCCTTGTTACTTCCATGCAACTGGAAATTGTAAAAGAGGATCCAGTTGCAAATACAACCATTTAGTTTTAGTTCCAGGAGGAACTATTTCTTAAGGAGGGGCCAATGTCATGAAATTCCTAAGCCGACCCTGTCTAAAGCAGCTTGGCACCCGACTCATGCTCGAAACGACGGAATCTCCCAGGAATGCCGCTGACGCTCTATAACGGGCGGAGAGTGCCGTTGGGTCAGAGATGGAATTTTCGGGAGCATCTAGAGACTTCTTGTAGCAGAGTTGGACTTGGTATAAATAGCCCGGCTCATCAGCGCACAGTTTAGTTTAGAGTATTGGAATGAAAAGTTAAATTGTAATAAATAAATTAGAATTAGTATTATATAAATTAATTAGTTCGTCTTAAATAAATTGTAAATAGTGTGTTTTAAATAAATAAACTATAAATAAATTAGACTATCGTTACAGTATAATACTATTTGAAACACATTGTATAATAGATTGCGACGTGCTCTTGGAGCACGTCGTTAACAACAAAGTGTATTCAGATATTGTTGTTAACAACGTGCTCAAAGAGCACGTCGCAATGTATTATACAGTGTGTCCCACATTATATAATAGATTATAACGTGCTCGAAGGACACGTCGTTAATAACAATGTGAGAGATAAATAAATTGCAATAAACATGAAATGTAAGATAAAACTTTTTTAATGTGTATAATACTTTTTAAAACACAGTGTATAATAGAGTGTGACGTGTTCTTCGAGCATGTTGTTATCAACAATGTATGAGGTAAATAAATTGCAATAAACAACAAAAAACAGCAATACTCTATTTATTTGACTATTGAATTAAGTTATTTATTTTATTTTCTACTTTAGATTTTATCAAAATTAAAAATAAAGCAAAAAACGAAAAAATACAGTTAAATTAAATATTTATAAAAATAATATCAGACGTGATACTCTAACGTTGACCAAAATGCGCGCGCACAAAATAACAGCAGCCTAAGTTTAGCGAAAGCTTTCGCGACCTTTCCAATAGTATTTTGTTTAACTACAAAAACGATGGGTATATAAAAACAATGTCGATATTTTTGACCCCTTCAGCCACCCTTAACGCAAAGGATGATGGTCGGCAGCTCGGTATTAAAAATCATATTTAATTATCTGTCAATCAAAAAGCGATGGGTGGAGGGTGGCGCATTTATTAAATTGTTAACAATTTTTTATGAAGTACAATATATTACCTAGTGATCGACCCAACATTTTACAATGTGCTCCTATACGATTATATTTATACTAGTTCTATGTTTAGGTAAAAATATTTTCGAGCAGTTTCGGAGGCGTCGCTTTATGGGAAAATCCAAACTACGTCAGTCCCGCAAAATACAGGTACCAAATTAATTTGAAAGCCAAAAATAAGTATGTGAATAGGATCCAACAAAAGGTGCACGCTGAAGCTACCCGTCCGACTGACAGTTACAAATTGAAACCTCTGGATGATATATTCCAAGGTGATTTATTGGAAAAAGCGGAGGAACTTGAAAAGCGGGAATTTGAGGCTATTGAAGATGAACCGGAAATGAAAAAGAGAAAAATTAGCGAGACTAATTTGGTTAAAAAAACTAAAAAGTTTAAAAAAAATCGTAAGGAAAAAGTTAACATTAAAGATGGGGTAGTTAAGAAAGGTATTAAGAAAAATCTAAATAGCAGTAAAAAAACGAAACTGTTAAAAGTAAAAGTGAATGGACTTGGTAAAAAATCTAAAAAATCCTTTGATTAAAATAATGTTTTTTTTTACTTTTTAATGTATAGATGTAAAAATTAATAAACAGTTATTTTTATTTTCTCTTTTACTAATTACCTATATTCCCATTAAATTTTAGCTGGACAAAAATCGAGGAATGCTAAATTTAGTCGTCCCTGTCCTTGAAATTCAGACAATTTCAGCAAAAATATTTTGCGCTCTTTACCCCTTAATCCCGGCATGTAAAAATATTTGTTGTTTGCTCCTTCAATTTTCGTAAAGCAAACCTTCCATTGTTATATTCACCAATTTTTGACATAGATTGGTCTTGGCTAGGGATGGGCAAAATAATTGTTAGGGTTTGTTTTTTTTTTTGTAAAAAATCAATCGATTATTTTCGATTAATCGAAGAAAAAATCTTTAAGAAGCTCAAAAAAATAACTCGCCAATACTTCATGATGAATTTTTAACAATAAGATCTGTCAAACGAAAACTAAATAAAAGCGGAAAACTCAATCAAAACTGATCCATTTACTTTTTGGGCTTACGTTCACAGTGAAGAACCCGGCATAAACTACTTCAATGAAAAAGAATTGAATACAGCAGAGTATCGTGGATGCATTTGCTGAATTCTTTAACAGTGTATGGGTAGATATAAAAAAATTGCCACTTTTCAAGGGATAATTTAAAAAATATATATAAGGCTGAAATTAAAAAATAAAAAAGGTAAAATATTGCTGGGGCGTCAGAGATTCCAGGATAAATTGCTTCAGCGAGTTTATTTGAAAACCGACCTGTCAAAGTGACATTTAGTTTTTGCCTTCTAGGAGAGTAAGTAAGTTCCAGGAGAGATAGAATTTAATATTAAAAAATACAGGTTTTTAATTTTTTTACTATAATTTTATTTTTAGATTCCAGACCTTTGTAAGAAAAATCAAATGAAACCTACATTTCTCAGTAAAAAAATCAGAAAGATAAAAATTTTGACAGGAGAGTGAGTTTTTTGCATGTTGAATAATAAAATGTAGCTTTAATAAAAAATATTTATTTATCCAAAATTAATTCAAATTCTCACAAAAACGACAATCCATTTTATTTTGTTTTGCCAAAAAAATATTCTGCAAGCAGGTAAGAAAAATACAAAACTAAATAAAAATTCTTTTTATAACTAAAAAATGACTGGCAATTATGTAAAGAAACAATTTTACCTAGCTCAAAGAAAAACCCCACAGTAAAAACAAATAATTGTGTAAAATATGTAAATGATTTTATTTAGCTTACATTACAATGCAAGACTACTTTGTTGAAACTTAAAAATATAAAAAGTCGGTGCCTTAGCAAACATTCTACATCATGTTGTTCATTCCAACAAAGATACGTTAGAAGTTGGTGCGTTGTAGAAAAATATGTAACTTTTAAAAATCTTAGTTTTAAAATATTCTTATATTTGCCGAAATCCGAATTGGTATTTTTAGAGTCGATTTCGTATGGATTATCTACCTTTTATTTGTCAAGGACTATAAGAGCATTTTTTTATCTTTAAATTGTAAACAGCCGGTTGTAGTAGTGGTATCCCCACTTTGTCGTACTAGTCTTCCATCTTTCTTTACCGAAAAAGCATAAATTGATGGAGAGCTAAAAATGCCGGCTCTTGATTCCTGACATCCGAGTAGTACTGAGTTTTCTTTTAATTCATAGTGAATACGCCGTTTAGTGCCGTGATCTCGATTCAATAATTTGTTGACCCGTTGGATTTGTTAAGGTAGGAGCCGTATATTATTTTTTGGCTTTTATATAATTAGTTGGGACACCCGTGTGACAAGCGAAGAATTTTGATTCACATCCAGGATTTATTATTTTATCCCTTAGTGGGAAACCGTTGGCAATTTTTTATTTGAGGTTGGACCTAGACTAGACACCGAGTGTTCTCTTTGTCAACGACTATATCCAATTTCTTTTAAAAACCGCCCAGTTAACATCGAAGTGAGAGATTCGACCTGTTTTCGATTTTTTTTATTGTTTTATTTTTTCCTTTTTTTCTTTTTGTTTTCGGAAGTTCGATCCGCTTCTCGGGCTAGAGTGATCTCTCTCCTGATGACGTATCTAATTTCCCAAAAAGAGATTTAAATTAATGTCCGCGCCTCACTTCGTGTGAAATTTCTTTTCTTTTAATATTTTTTATTATTCAGCTGTATTTGAATCATTCCGTTTCTCCTGTCCACAATTAGTTATTGAATGAAGTCAGACGACTTCTGTAAAATTAAATTCACACATACGCTCTCGTTAGACTCTGGGCAAAATTCAAAAATATTATTTTCTACGACCGTCGTGGTCGCCGTCCAAAATACCGTATAAATAAACGTTATTTATCAATAGGCGAGAATTTTTCGTTTCCATCGCTTGGGTCTCCGACAATTTTGAGTTCATTTTTACTTTCCTATCTGTCTACAGATATAAGGAAAGTATAGGAATCATGATTTTTTTCGACCTCGAGTTTTCGACGGATTTTTACGTTTTGAGGTCCCCTGAATCCGTTTTGACTATTTTCGCGATGATGTCTGTCTGTGTGTGTGTGCGTGGGTGTGTGTGTGTGTGTGTGTGTGTGTGTGTGCGTGTGCGTGCGTGCGTGCGTGCGTGTGTGTGTGTGTGTGTGTAGGTCGCATAACTCATGAACCGATACACAGAAAAACACCAAATTTTAAACTTAAGCTTTATTTCAGCATCTAATGAACTGATAAGATTTTGGGCAGAGTCGGAACATCTGGGGGGTACTTTATAGGTGGTCATTTTTATATTTTATGGAATATATCTGTTATTTACGTTTGGAGAAGAAAATTCTTCAAATAAAAGTTACTTCTAATATAATTATCTATAATTTTTTGATCTATACAAAATTTTCCTAAAATGGACCGTATTCGAGAAATTTGAAAAAATGTAAGAAAAATATTTTTTTATAAAAATTGTTCAAATAAAAGTTGTTTGTAATATAATTCTCTATAATTTTTATTCTATACATAATTTCTCTAAAATGGACCGTATTCGAGATATTTGAGAAAATGTGTAAATTTCGAATTTTGAAGAAAACTCAAAAACGGATAAAGAAAAAAACATTAAATTTTAAACTTAAGGTTTATTTCGGCCTGACGTGAAATGATTAGATTTTGGACAAAGTCGGAACATCTAGGGGGTACTTTATGGGAGGCCGTTTTTATATTTTATGGAATATATCTGTTATTTATGTTTGGAGAAGAAAATTGTTCAAAAAAAAGTTACTTCTAATATTATTATCTATAATTTTTGTTTTATGTCAAAATTTCTTGAAATGGTCCGTATTCGAGAAATTTGACAAAATGTGCAAAATTTTGATTTTTATGAAAATTGTTGAACTTAAAGTTGTTTGCGATATCGATCTCTATAATTTTTGTTTATACATGATTTTTCTAAAATGGACCGTAATGGAAAAGTGCTAAATTTAAATTTTTCAGTATTTTCGTTTTCAATGAATATCTATAGAAAAATGTTTCGAGGTAGATGTATTTGGATAATGTATCTATTTAGTTTATCCTCTAAACATTTATAGAGATGCTGCAATAGGTTGTACAAAATAACCGGAAAAAGCCTATAATAACTAGATAGGAAAGTCATGTGTTGGACACATCAGATTTTTTAATTTGTTTGCATTTGATTACCGTCATATTTAAATTGTTTTCAATAATAATAATTTATTTTCATACATTTTCCGTATACTGGGCATTTCACGAAAAAAAAATTAGTTCATTAAAAATTATTCAAACAAGAGTAAACAATTAATTTCTGGGAGACTTTTTTTTCCTTAAAAATTCAAATAAATCAAAAACTAATAATAATAGTAATAGGGAACCTTTAGTTAACTGACATTATTTTTGATGTAGTTTTTAATTCTAAAATAAAAAACAGGGTGTTCCATTAAAAATAATATAACTTTGTATATTTTCTCTTATGTGGGACATCCTGTATACATCTAACAAATTTTAAATTGTAGCCGTCTGAAACCTACGTATTCCTCCCAAACGAATTTTTTATATCTTTGGTCGTTTTCCCATAAAGCTCCGTCCCGTTGAGCGTGAGCCACCCTGTATAAATGAAGGTATGTAAATGTGTCATCTAAAAATGTACTTATTAGTTATATGTCTACTTAAGTTGGAACCATATGGAAAACTTTTGTATTATTGGTTTTGTGAAAAAATGTATTTTTGATAAAAAGTTCTGCACGGTCCAAACCTTAAAATGCAACTATCAGATATAAATTTTTTTAAGCCGTATTCGAGGTTTGTCTACAAATAGTGAATTTTACTCAAGAGTAAAGACCTTTATTTTTTACAATACAGAAGAATATTATAAAGTAAGGTTATTTTGAAATAAAAGTTATATTTAAATATGCAATTACAGTCATTTAGCATTAAAATTCAGGTTAGGTGATTATTTACGTTTTACATTATAAATTATTTGTAGTTATAAATTAATTAACCACCGAACCTGAATTTTAATGCTAAATGGCTGTAATTGCATATTTAAATATAACTTTTAATTTAAAATAACTTCCCAGCTAGCACATAACGTTACCAAGCCTTTAGGCGATGTTGTTTTAAAGGAACATAATAACATACCCATACAACGTAATTGCAACGTTAATGAGAAGTTGTTGAGGGAAATCAAAACCTCGCGAAACATCTATTTGTTACTTACGTATTTAACCTGCCCGTTATGATAACACAACGTAATTAAGTAACTTGCTAAAAAAGTTTCCTCGAGAAGTACTATGGACTTTCGAACGTAGCCATTCGTTTGTCATAACCAACAAAACAAAAAAATGTCACTTGTCACTTTTTCTTGTACGTATTTGAGATTTTAAAGAAATTGGAAACTATACGTTTGAATAAGTTTGGTAAGTTGTTTTCTTCTTTTCAATAAATTTTCTAATTTTCTAATTTATTGTCTGTTGTTTTAGATGGTAAAATTTCAATTTCCAAATACAATAAAAAATAAATCATTGTAAACAAGTAGATACAATTAAATGATGAAATATTTATTTTACACGATAATAGGGATCTTATTGA